AAAAATTAAGCCACTACTAAATATACTCAGAATTAGGACGACTTTTTACCAAAGCATGTGAACCATTCAATAGCATGGCTGGCCACATGCTCACCCCATTTCCTATAAATAAATGCCCTAAACTTAACTTTCTTACATGTAATCAAATCCAAAAAGAAGGCATCATGGGGAGATTTCATCATCCTTGTACTCTTTTTTCAAATGTTGGACCTATATGCATACATAATAATATAATAATAAGATTTTCGTACACTTTTTCTCTCCCGGACGCATAATTATAAAACCAGAATACCAAAGTACACCAAATTCATCATTTTTGGTTGTTAATCTTAATGTCTTTCTCATCTTTGTTCTTTTATATTTCTTAACCAGGAGAAAATATTGAAATGTAAACTTGGGTGGTCTCACCTTTTTAACTTTTTTGTCAGTTAAGCAAATGATGGATACCAAGTTCAAACTCATCATTCTTGTAGCTAAGCCTATTATTTCAGGGGGTGGGAATCTTTATCAATATTTTAGCACAAAAAAACAAAGGATGAGTACCAATAGTTTTTCACTAGAATTGCATCTCAAGTCTTTACTTCTAGAAAGGAATACATGACGAAATTGAAAACAAGAGGTATTTTTTCTAATAATGGTTCCAAATGCTAGTAACCTGGATAAAAGAGAAGCTTTTTATCTGATTGAAATGTTACTGTAAAAGATTTTTTGTTCCTAAAACAGAAATCTTGCATTCTATTCCCTCACACAACATTGGACCACCATAGAGCATCGCTAAAATATATATTATATATTTGCTTTCATCTGATGACCACTAAACCGTCCATTTTTCTAATTTCTTTTTGTAAATTGAGAATTATTCTTTCTTCATTTCATTTGTGTACCCACAATTAAGAGAAGGAACCTGAGTATTTAAGCCTGGAAAGAGAAAAGAATATGCAGGAAAGGAATAAGTCTGATAAGAACTAAATCTTAGGGTTTTATTCCTTAATACAAATTAAAAATTGCAGATTAAGTTCCATACAACAGATTATAATTCAAGTCCCGTTTGAAAGTTTCAAATTATTCTCCTAAATTTGTTGTCAACCCTCCAATTGAAATCTCGTTATATGCAGTGAAAAATATGCCAATTCAGCAGTAGCCATTAAGCTTCTAACTCAGCAACTTTATGGATTTTGGCACTGAAAAAAACAACTCGGAATTTTCCTCTTTAATCTCATATTCTTGTTGGATCAGTTGAACCCTGAAAAAATGTTTTTTGTTTTTTGTTTTTTAACTTTTACGTTGATATACATGGTAAGTGGAAATTTCTACTTTATACTATTTTGGATAAATGAAACGGATCACTGTTGCTTCATTCTTTATGCACAATGTTTGGCTACCTCTCTTGTTTTGCCGCCATTGAGTCAAAGCCTTACATGATACTCAATCTAAGGCTACCATATTTGACAATAGAATCACACACGGATTAACGAAGAATCACATCTCTTCATGTACCAATTGGTTTTTGTCCTACAATGTATTCTAGATGGTTGTAATGTGGCTTCTTGGTTAGCTCTTTTGCATGCTTTTTCACTCCACCACTTAACGCCTTTTCTTTGTTTCACATTTATTTTTTGTTTATTTTGAGAATTTTCTGTGTTTTAATTTAGGAAAATATAAGAATCATGTTATAGGAATGATCTGATTCTGTATCTTAAGGATACGACGTCGTATCCTGATTTTAGTATGACTTTTTTTTTTAAGCGTGGGACCCACACTTGATTTGTGTGTGCAGGAAAGTGCTCTAATCATGTCACATAACAAAAAGCGAACCCTTTAATTTATTTCCTTCCTATGTTAGGTTTACCGTTTAGTTTGTGAGTAAAAATACAAAAGAATGGAGGAATAGTCTCTTAACAGATTCAAAGAATTAAAAATTTTGGAGATATTCAAGAATCAACTCATCTCAAAAAAATAATTATGGTCGAAATATTCAAAATAAAATAAAAATAAATACAAAGAATGGAGGAGTATAAGTAATTGTGGACAATGTATATATAGTGTAAAGAAATAACTTTTTAAAAGTTTAGGTAAAAGTCAATGAACGATTTTATACTTATCACGCTCCTTCGTACACAATGTATTTGTCCTTAATTGAAGTGTAAAAGTGTAAAAACTCAATTATTATTTTATGTTGAAATTCTATTTTTATTTTAGACTAATTCATCATTAAGATTGATTAAGAACTTAACTATTCTTCAAATTGAAGTTGCTAAGTAAATACTTACAATGGTTTTTAGTAATATATACATTGACACATTATACTTCGAACATTAATTTTTGTTTGTTTTTATGCACGACGTCCTTAAATTACTTCCGAGAGGTGATTTTGATGGAAGTCTTATTTTTAAGATTATTTAAGATGCGTAAGCGTAAGTACCCATGAAACTATATTTTAATATCTTTGGGCTGTGAGCTTAGCATTGGCAGCCCTCAAGTCGACCCCGAATAATGTTTTGTATTTTGTGGAAGAACATGTAGCATACAAAGACAAATGTGTAGTGATTGAGAACTTAAAAAAAAAATAAAAAAATATAGCAATATCTCGCGCGCGCGTGTGTGTATTGTTTGTGGTCACTATGTGAGATGGAGAAGCGAAAAAGTGCTGGAATCTTAGGGAAAAAAAATTAAAAACAATTTTTATGTATTGAAGTTACAAAAAAAATGTCGAGTGTTGGAATTTCACGTATGTTGAGGTAAGAAAATTTTGTTAATAATATAACAAGTTACTATTGAAAGCAAGTTAATAAAATTGTTTCACCCCAATATATGAGATATATGAGAATTTTTGTATGTAAAACTAACATTTATCTAAAAATTAAGTTGGAGCTTATTTTGTCAAGTTCCTTAGCCTTTTAATTTTTCAGAGTGTAATTTATGCAAGATATATTTTTCATTTTTTTCCCTTATTTTAATCAAGTATTCCAAAGATCTGGATATAAATCCCATCTTTGCAAGCAAAAATGGATTTCATTAAACAGAGATACGATCATTCAAAAATTTCCCTACAAAAAAATGGTGATATTTTATGAAGAAAAGATAAAACTATTTGCTACAGACAATTTAAGATCCATAGAAATTTTCATCTGCGTAACGAAATAATATTTCTAAAAAAAAAAAATTCATAACTAGAGTAGAAAAAAAACAAGTTACTTAAACTCAGTGATTTAAAATTCGGCTCAAACCAGTCAGATCGACTTGGGTTTCGGTGACCCAGTACTGATAATGACCAGCTATTTTGTTTGAGGATTGAAAGACTTATAGTTCGATCATTTTTATTTGTTAGATATAATGTTTATAATTTAATATTTATTACATACTATAATACAAAGGATTGGAATGACAGTTTTAAAACACCATTTATAACTCTTTTCTATTTTTTTAAAATAAACGACTTTATAAGTACAAGTTGGCGTGTTTACTTTTCCTTTTTGAGGCATTAACTCCAATATCTAGGAGCAGGCAGCCTTTCCTATTCCAAGAAGCACTGCATCCTCCTTTTTTCCATCAGAACAAAACTATGTAAAACATACAATAAATGGAACAAAATTGGGTATAAAGCTATCAAACAACCAAGTTATTACAGTTCCCTGTAATAGGAGCATTTCAACTTGTAACTTTCTATTTTCTGTTTGTTGCAGCGATTCCTGGTCCATTTTAATTTGTACCATAGCACTCCAGTAAGATTCCTTAGTAGCTAAATCAAATTACAATGTTTGATATACTTTAAACTGAATTTGAGTAAGCTCCATGTGACTAAACCACATGCTTGATCTCACTTGCTATTAACTTAATAACAAGATTTAGGTAAAAGTTACAGAGCTTAACACAGTATATGCAAACCCTGACTTCAGTTCTGAGCTTTTAATTCCATGTCTAAAAGATACTTGCTCTGAAAACTTTGTTCCTAGCACGTGGAACTTGTACCCTCACAACATGAGGGCACTGATCTCTGCTCTTTCACTAAAACGTGCCTCTTTATAACTTTCCATAAACTTGGTGTAGCAGCTTTAACCCAAAGTTGATACCTTTGCTTTTCATTTTCTTAGTGGTTAGTTTGTCGCTTCTATATTAAAATGATATTTAATTTGTCTTACCTATGACAAATCAAAACGAAAATGAAAAATCTTAGACCTGAAATGTCTTCTATGGAACATAAGCTAGCTAAGATAATATCTAGGAAAACAATGGTTCTCAATTGGAGTTAGAGATGTCACAGTCACACACTGACCAGGACATATTTGTATGTTTCCCATTTCAAGGAACTTGTTCTAAACTGCAAAACTATTATGAGGAGATAATTAGTTTGGGTGCCATGGCCAACTCTCCTCAGCAATTGTCCTTTTCTTTTGCTGGTCACTTTTGGACTTTTCTTTCAATTAAGATGCGTATCTCTGGGGATTACACGAGGCCTCTCTAGACAAACCGAATATATTTCTAGTTAGTATAATCTCTTTGAATCTTAATCCGCTACTTAGTAATAACAGCTTTAATTGTTTACTTATGCTAATTCTTCACCTAATCTTCTACCAAGAGTCGTGGAAAATTGCTAATGCCTATTTTCCTTGCCTATCATTCTGTATGAATTATATAAAAGCTCCATAAACCTAACTCCTATCTTGTGGGATCAAAAGAGAATACTGATCAGCAAAAAACCCACTGAAAAGAACACAACATACAAAGAAAAGTAAAATTTATGCATACGCCCGCTGATTGGAATAGTGCTTGCATCATATCAAAAAGTCCAAACCAGAATTACTATTGTAATGAATTCAACTTTGTCCACTAAACTATCATTTAAGATCAAGAGCAAGTAGCAAAATTGTATACCATCTCAAGTTTAGTCAAACAAAGCACTAATTAAAGTATATAATATTAATTATACAGAGCATTCGACCAAAAGGGACACGTTTTTTTTTTTAAAAAAAGAAAAGAATTAACCAAATAGAGAACTTGGTCAATATTATTATAATATAGCAAAGGAGAGTTACATCATAATAGTGGCTCAAATCACACAACCTTAATAGACCGATCTCTGAACACTACAAGGGCCCATTTACAGAACCAGCACCCAACAAGCTTACCCGCTTTATGATACAATACACATTCATGATTATTCCATCACACACTATCTGGCATATATGACACTGATTACAATTTCTCAACAGACTCAAACCTAAAAGAAATCAACAATAATAGTACAATACCCCTCTTTTCTCTCTCTATCTAAAATCCAGAAAGCCCAATAGATCTCATCTCAGTACAGCAACATGTCTGCAGAAGCCATGATTGGTTGGTTCACATAGGCCATATTTAAAGGGTTGAAGAAGCTATTGGGGGGCTCATTGAAGGAGCTTGGTGCCCCTGCAGAAGAACCAAAAAACCCATTGGTGGCATTGAAGAGGTCGATAATTTCGTTCAAAGACCCTAGCCTGTGGCTTAGCTCACCCACTTGAGCTCTCAGAACTGAGTTTTCAGCCTCAATAGTCAAGTACTGTTGGGTAGTGAGGTTGAGGGATGTGAGTATCTGGTGAGTCTCGTTCCTGAGCTGAGCCACCTGAGAAGCAAGATCATCCAAGTGCTTCTGTTTCCTCATTCGAGATCGCCTTGCAGATTCACGGTTTGATATCATTCTCTTCCTCTTCCTCTGATCCATCAACGCCTGCAAGTCCTCCTCTGAACCAGAGTTTTGAAGCAGAGATGATCCTGAAGATGTTCCACTTGAGGAAGCCATGTGAGAGAGACCGATACAAGCTTAAAATTATTCAAAAGTTTAACAAAGAAGATGGACACTTGTTCGCAGGACCCAGACACTAGACTAAACACAAAACCAGAAAAATATTGCAGATAATAATAGTAATAATAATATACTTTAATAATCAGAAACTAGGAGAGGGTTAGAAATCATGAAACGTAGTAGAGCCAGTAAAGGAAAACAACTGAGAAGGATTGAACTAGATGGGTCCTGCGTCTAACAGTGGAATTGATCATACACCCAGAAAATAATATTTCACTGAGAATTTGATACATGAATCTCAAACATCAAGAACAAGATGTTGGGCATTTAAGATGAGCTTGGAAATAAATATATAAAAAAAAAAAATGGTGTTGATGCTCAGAAGGGATCAAGAAATCAGGAGCTGAAGCTCAATCAATCATAACTGAGAGAGAACATGTAGAAGAAAGGCTTAATACGGTACAGAGGCAGAGCTCTCACGGAACCATTAAGGTATATAATAAATATCTAAAAAGTGTGGTAAGAAAGAAGAAGAAGAAAAGTGGGAGGGGATTCGCGCTGCTTGAAGCGCAGAATTTATAGAACCAAAAAGGCAAACAAGTTGATAAAAAAAATAAAGCTTATATTGAAATGCAAAACGATAAACAGAAACAAGGACGATTCTTTAACTTTCTTTTATGTATTAAAAGAAGGGTTCTGTTAATGTCAAGGCCGAAGGAGATAAGTTATCTCAACGTGATATAGATAAATTTGTGTGGATTTCACCACCTAAAAAATAAAAAAGAAGGAGGTAGCATAGTTTTCTATGTGTAGAAGAAAAATTTATCACATATAAGAAAAGTTTTTCTTTAAAAAAAATAGATTAGTGTTTGCACTTCTAACAAACATAAAATTGAGTCATTCAGATGAGAAAAGAGAGAGAGAATTATTTGTGATTTTAAATGACAGAAAGTTATGTCATTTTAAGATAAATATACACAGAAAATTTAAATTTTAAATTAAAAAAACCATCAATTTTCTCTCTACCATGATTTTCATTTTTCTGTGTTTATCTCTCTCCTAAAATGACATAACTTATGTCTTTTAAAATGACAAACACTAAACTCGAAAAAAAATACACAATAAAAAGTATGAAAAAAAAATTCTTTAGATAAAAATATTAATATTAATTAAAATAACCATCTATTAAAGAAAAAAATATTTATCCTTTTAAATGACATAACTTATATCCTTTCACTTTCACAAAGAGGTGGGACCCACATCTTTATTTTTTTTTGTCAACTATCTCACCTTCTTTATCTATCTCTTTCTCTCTCCCTTAAAATGTCACAACTTTAAAATGATACACATTTTCTACTTTATTAAAACCAAATATTTTTCCATAAACAAAATTGAGAGATTTATTATAAAGGTTCAAAGCGGGAACTACTCGGATGGGGAGAGAAGAGAGGACGGAGTTGAGGGTTTCGAGTTTAGACACCGCAACGTATCGTCTTATTCTAGAATACTTCCAAGTTCCAATCAACATCACATATTCAGGACATAGTTATGCGGGTTAACACGTAAATTGCAAAATTATTGGAAAATATTATCTTATGTCGTAGGAGAATATTTTTCTCCCTACACATACATCGACTTTCGTATTGTTTTTTTTTTTTTTAAGTGAGTGAGTCTCACTCATAACTATCTCTATGACATAAGAGAGCTTCTCTTATGCCACATGAGATTAATAAAGCCCCAAAATTATTGAGATTGATTAAAAAATAAATAATATAAAATATTATAATTTATTGTATATATTATTAAAGTTTTAGTTCTTAACTTTTAGTTAATAATTTTAACTTTCTGCTTTATTTTTTAAAGCGTATCACTTACTTTATTTTGTAAATTATAGGATATTATATTTTATTATATTAAAATTTTTATTTTTCTCTGTTAATAAATTTTTATAGAATTTTTTTTATTTAATATTTATCATGAGAGATAAATATGAAATTTTCACATAAAAATGATTGATCAAATATTATAAAAGTGATTAAATCGCAATATATTTATGCTACATCTGATTCTACAATAGCTAATTAGCTATGTCCGGTGAAACTTGTTTTTATTTATGTATCAGTTAAGGGCCGTTTGGATGGATTTTCAAAAAGAAGAATTTTTTATGAGTTGTTTTTTTAAAAGAACTTTTTTTAAAAGTCAATATTATTTTGTGTTTGGATGCAATATTTGAAATGTGCTTTTAAATAAAAATATCATTTGAATATTAAAAAAAAACACTTTCTAAATATAAAATGAATGTTGTACTCTTGTTACTCACTCCATTTTCATGCCACCTCCTCCCCTCCGTGACACACATTCTCAGTATGTTTTGGGACAATATCCCCATCTATTCTATCCTCCGAATATCCTAGGTGGTTTCCATGCATTTAACTTCCTCGTAAACCTGGTACAACGAAATAATGGTTGAGTGACTTATTATCTATCAAGCATGGCACACAACATTGTATGCTACCACCATGTTGAACTAAACGACTCTTTAGATTCCCGTATGGGTTGGCTATCACATAGTTGACAGACACAAAAATTGATCATTTTTGTTGCAACATTTATCTACTTACAACTTGAGATTTCATTTTCTCCTCTATTCCCAATGGAAATGGACTCCATTCTCAATGGCAACAATGCTATCGGAATCAACTCAATCGCCGCCATCAACCACCCACCCGCTCCTTCCTCAAATTGATCCCAAGAGTCTCTGAAGTTGGAGCACTTGCTATCTGCCTCCTTCAAGGCCTCAAGAGGAAGGTAACTATTGACCAAGAAGAGAGCGTCGAAGGAGATGGGTAATATTGGTCAAAGTAGCTTTTGACTTCTATTTTTCAGAGAAGCCGGAATTTTTAACTTTTCAAAAAAATAATATTTTGGCTTTTGTACTGCTTCTGTTTTTATTAAAATCTCATATCCAAATAGCCCAAAAAAAAATCAAAAACACTTTTCTTGTTTCTTTTAAAAGAATCAGCTTTTGGATAAGGAGAAGCCCATTCAAATAAGCATTTAATTTGAGTTCTTGTGATATTCACTGTAGAGAAGCTTTCTCTAAACATCTAATTTTTTTTTTTTTAGATATATTCATCAATTTATCGATTATTTAATTAGTCTAATTTGAATACGGTCAAATTCATTAGAGGGACGGCAGAGTCCCAAAGTTATTTTTTCCATTCCCATCAACTCAAGATCCTAATTAAAGAAATATCTAATATTCTAATCACATGTTTGGCGGGGTCTCCTTTCATTTTGCATTAAAAAAAAGTGTCCAGTGTTTTCAAGCAAACTCAAATTTGCTCCTAATACATTTGAATGAAATAAGAGTTGGAAGGTATAAAAATAATAATAATAAGAGTTGGAAATGTAGGGTCTGTTTGATTATGTTCCTTTATTTTTGTTCTTGAAATTATTTTATAAAATAGTTAATCAAATGAGTGTTTTTTGTATTTATTTTTTTCTGAAAGTTAAAAATCAAAAGATAAAATAGAAACAACTAAAACATGTTCTCTAAATTTAATTTTAAAAATTAAAAAACATTTATAATTTTTAAAATTATTTTTATAAAATAAACCTTACCAAATATGATTTTTTTCTCAAAATTAAAAAACCGTTTTTAAGAACTGAATACAAACAGTCCCGTAGCTTTTGTGTTAGATTAAGAGTTTTATACTAAACTTTGCTACAAACTTATTTTTTAGATAAATAATTTTCGATTGAAATCACTTTATTTCAAGCTCACTTTTAAACAAAAATTAATTTTTCAAACACTCATCAAAACATGCAGTTAATTAATATAAAAAAAAGTTGAAAATTAAGAATTAAATATGAAAATCGATCTAAATCTAAATTAAATCAAATTTCAATTTCTATATGTTAAATGATATTTTACTTAAAAAAATCATATTATCCATATTTGTTTAATAACTTTTATATTAATATCCTTAAAGTCCAATTTAATTATTTCTTTGACACAAACATGTATTCTTATATTGTCAATTAATATAAAATTTTATTTATAATTTTATTTTTATTTTATAAATATTTAGTATATTTTGATTAATTAATTTAACTTATATTTAGGCTATCAAAAAAAAATTAACTTATATATGTTTTTTAATAAGAATATTTTTTTTAAAAAAATATTTGAATCCAATTTGCAAACAGCCATGGCTTCTTACGGTAATAAGTAAATAGGGTAACATTATTAAAAATAAATAAAACGGTGAGAGAGAATTTTAAGGTGAGAAACTTGCTCGGTTGCTCCATCTTCTTCTTCTTCTTTTTCGGTAAACTGCTCCATCTTCTTCTCTTGTCCCCTACACGATGAAAACATTGTACGCTTCAGGCATAATGTCCTATTGGAACTTGGAAGATGATTAAATGACCCCTTCGAAACAGGTCCCTTTTTTCATCAAATTGATCTATATGGTAAACAAACAAGAATGGTAAAAAAATTCTAAAAAGTTCTAATTTTCATTTATGGTTATTTGGTGATGTCTCTAAAATTATTGTACCGTCATGCAGAATAATCCGATGCAGTGAAATTTAGGAAGAAAAAACTCACAACAGGGTATTATTGGGTCAATATTATACCAAAGTAAATCGGATTTCGGATTATTTTAAATATTGACTCAGTACAATAATATGAACTTACATTTACATTTTTATATGAGTTTAATATGTATCATATTGTGTAGAAGATAAAATTATATTCTATATATATAAAAATATATAGAACTCATATTTTTTCTTTTTTCTCCTTGTATGATTCCACATTAACTCTATACACTTATATATATGGGGAAAATATTTCTCAAGCTGTTTGAGATAAATTTATCTCCGGCCACCTCAAAACTATGTCGTTTTGATTATTTATTTATTTATATGTATTGATTCACCTTTGAATGGTTATGATTTCTCTTTTCTCTTTCTTCCTTTATTACCATTGATCTATCTTTGTACGTTTATGATTTAGTAGCCGGAGATAACTTTATCTCCGACAGCTTGAGAAACAATAAGCCCTATATATATATATATATATATATATATATATATATATATGGAGAGAGATCATTTGACTCCAGAGTAAGACTTATAAGTCTCACTCCCCATCCTAGCCATTGATTTCCGTCCATCCAACGGTTATAGTTTAGGAAGTTATATTAATTAATTAATTTATAAATGACAATCGTTGATTTCCGTCCATCAACGACTGATATGGAGAATAAGACTTTTCGGGTACAAGTACCCTTTTTGTTGAAAGTCATTCAAGCTTTTCCTGAGAGTATGACATGGGTTACTTCAGCGCCGTAGCGCCTCGAACAGTGGCTCGAGGCATTTTCTCTACCCCTTCTTACCCTGAAAAAGCATGGGCACCTTGCGAAGTCTTACTCTAGAGTCAAGAGAACCCTCCCCTATATATATATATATATATGAGTTTATTTTTTTTGCAGTTACTGCAGATAAGTTATCTGCAGTAAGCCCAATATGACGTCGTTTTGGGACAGAAATCATGGTGTTTTTATAATTTTAATTTATGTCAGGGTTATTATAGTATTTATAATTATAATTATAATTTTCTAA